CAGGCTTCGCCGGAGGGCCGAGCGGGGGCTGAGCTCGCAGCGCGAAGGTAATGCGACCGTGGGTCCGGGGCACGGGTCCCTGGAATCGAACCTTGGAAGATGGGCCGCCTGTGGCCGCGCTGCTCCTCCTCCACTTGTCGCGGATGCGAGCGGCACCTCTGTCCAGGAGAGGGGCTCTCAGTGAGCGGGGAGTCGGGGAGGCCGCCAGCGGGCCCGGTCAGCGGGGCGGGAGCACCCCAAGGCCTGGGCTCAGGCCGGCAGCAAGGGTGGGGCCGTCTCACGCACGGGGCTTTCCTGCGGGGCCCAGGCACCGTGGCTCCTGGAAGTGTGACCCAACGCACCTTCTCATCGGCCCTTGGGAAGAACAAAGGAGGGTGCTGTGTTGAAGTGTCGAAGCCACTCTGCACGTCCTAGGAATCAGGGCTCACCTGAGCTGGGAAGAGCTGGGGCTGTGAAAGCAGCTGCGAGGTCGCGGAAACTGCTGGAAGGGCGCCTGGAACACCAGGGCGGGCGCCTCTCCAAGGCGTGGTGAGCAACTGCTGCGGTTCCAAGAATCCCTGGGAAAGCTCCCTCCAACTGGTGCCGCCAACGAGCCTGGAAACACTGAGAACCCTGTGTCGGGTCTGACCCCGACCTCCTGACCATTGTGGCCTCAGCTCCCTCGCACCTTCCGAAGCTCAGGTGTGCGTCTATCTCCGTGAAAGACGAAGCCTCCGCGACGCAACGAAGGAAGGGGTCCTGGGGAAGGAAGGCGGCCGGGGAGTGGGCGGAAGAGCTGCGACGTCGACAGGCGACATGCGGATGCAGCTCCCGTAGGCCCGAGGCCCGAGCCGTGAAGAGCGGGGCCCACAGCCAACCTGCCGGTGACACGGACCATGCCGGGGAGGACTTGCAGGCCGTGCATTACGGCGGCGAAGTCACCCGAGCATGGCACGTGAGCAAGTGCACCGGGCGGTGCCAGGCAGGCTGGGTCAGTGCCCGGCGTCCCCACCCGCCCCGCGGCCTTCGACATGGCTTGTTCTCCCCGGAGGCGACCAAAGACATGCGACCCGGGAGGCAGACAGAGCAGCAGGTGGGACAGGCTCAGAGCAGCCCTCCCCGCCTCCCACCGCACGCAGCCGTGCGGCCCCCCAGGACCCGACGGGCCGGTCAATCGGTGCACTCAGCATGGCTGAGGGTCGAAGAAGAAAGGGTTCCTTGAAAAATCATTTTAAAATGAATGATCGGGGAACAAGGACCGAACTGGAAAAAAAAAAAAAAAAAGAAAGAAAGAAAGAAAAAAGAAGAAGTGATCAGAATTAGAGGCCCGCGGGGCTCCCGAGAAGGTCCGTTCAGCTTGGAGACCGGTCGGGAGGTACGATGACTGTTCTGGAAGCTGACGGGCCTCCAGCCGGGTGCATCCGAAGACCTGTTCACGGCGGGACGGGTCGGAGCCCAGCGCTGCAGCCTTGTAACAAGGCGCTAACAGCCAGGGTGGTCGGCCTAGGGTTAGGCGCTCTCGTTTTCTAATCATACTCCAGCCATAGACACGTGTGCACGTATGAGATGCTGATGCATATTCTTTGCATAAATATACGATAAACACGTGAGATGAGGCCTACTCCTACAGCGTTAGGACACTTGGTTTTGGGCGACGTCACCCTTTGGCCAATCATCTTAGCCAATCGTGTGCCTGGAAAGAGAACTGGTTGGGGGATACGGCGTGGCCCAAGTCACACATCAGTAATCGGAGAATGTCCCTAAAAGGGAAACCGCTCACGGCCCTCCCACGCGGTCCCCAGGCCCCGGGTCGGCCTCCCCAGCTCCCCGGTGGTCCGTGACGGGCGACCACGCGGTGGCTCTGGGGGCCGCGTCTTCCAGTTCTCATGTCCGTGGCTGATAAAGGGAACTCCGGGTTCTCCAGCGTCTTGTGGACGAGCCCTCCTTGGGTCTCCACGCGGGATCTTCTCACCATCCCATTTCTCACAGCAGCCTCTGCCCTCAGGCCTTGACCGGCTCAGGTGTCAGGTGCAGGTGTGGGGGCTGTGCCCTGCACCGGGGCGCCCCACCCACGGGGCCAACGGGGGACAGCCTGCCTGGCTTCGCCTACGGGGACCCTTTGTCTACAATCACAGGCCCACCCGCGCGGTCCCCAGGCCCCGGGCCGGCCTCCCCGGGCTCCGGCAAAGAGTCCTCAGGCTAACCCAATGCAGGGTCCTCGTCCTGGGCTCCGAGCCCGCCTCAACCGCCCGGTGGCCCTCCCGCCGTGCCCAGCCCTCCGTGTATTCAGGGGCTGGGGCACCTTCGGTCTCGGGAGCCTCGGAGGATGTGATGTTTGCTCTGGGGCACTGGTGTAAAGGGACCCCCAGCGCGTCCCGGCAGGAGGAAGGTGCCGCAAGGGCCTCGTCACCCGGTGCTCAGCGTCTGGGTGCGGAGGGCCCAGCAGAGGGGGGCCTCGCCCCACGGGGGAGCCCCGGGAGCCCGTCTGCAGGGGGAGGTCTCTTCCTCTCCATTCGTGGCACCACCAGAATGCGAAAGGTTCCGACGCACGGGGCAAGCGGACCAACGTGACACGGGATACGCGCTGTCAGACCTGGTAATCTGACCCCTCATCAAACATTCAGCGGGGCCATTTGATCCCCTCCTTCTCTCAGCTCCCGCTCCCCCCGCCGCCCCTGCCTCCGGGCTCTATCCTCCGCTCCACCCACCTGGCCAAGGGGAGCAGCTGACTCGGGGTCCCTGTCACAGCGGGGGGCTGGGGGGGGGACTCAGCCACGGGGATGTGTAGACTCAGGACAGGTGTCCACATCGTCTGCTCTGACCCGGGACGCTACGGGCCGTGCGGTGGTGTGGGGGGAGCGGGTGCCTGCAGGCCAAGCGAGGGTGCGGCACAGTAAGGCCCCCACGGCCACCGCTGGGCAAGGGCAGGGGTCAGGTGCGCGCCTGGCCTCCGGCTAGAGGGGACGCAGTGCCGGGTCAGGTGCTGCTCAAAGCAGCAGGAGGCTCAGGACAGCTCCCCCAGGGGAGCCCCGTGACCAGGCGGTGGGCTGCACTCGGGGTGCCTGGCCCCGCCTCTGACACCACCAGCCCCGAGGGAGCGAGGCCCGGGGCTGAGCCTGTGCCGGGACCAGAGTGCGGCCACCGACGCCGGAAGCCGCAAAGTAGTAGCAGTAATAATATTTCTATGTTATTAACTGTATCGCTTTACATTGATTGACGCTTTGGCCCCACAGCAACTATGCTCCGCCCCTGGTGGCTCATTGAACCATGACAAGGGCTCCACACTCCCGGAAGGAGGTGCTGTGTCCTTGTGCAGATGGGAACGCCAGCGCTCAGGGTCATAGCTCTCGCAGGGGGCCGACCTGAGGCCCCAACCCAATTCGAAAGAGGCCCGTGCTGGCGCCCTTTCCGCCACCAGCCCTGCCCCCTGGGCGGCCGCCCCAGCAGCACCCACCAGGCCGTCGTGGGGCACACGGAAGCCCCCACAGCCTCCCTGGCATGTCCACGTGGCCCGACATTGGCACTGCTGTGGAGCGAAGCCCCTGCACCCCCTGCACCCTCTGCACCTCCTGCACCCCCTACACCCCCTGCACCCCTTGCACCTCCTGCACCTCTGCAACCCCTGCACCCCCCTGCACCCCCTGCACCCTCTGCACCCCTTGCACCTCCTGCACCTCTGCAACCCCTGCACCCCTTGCACCCCCTGCACCCTCTGCACCCCTGCACCCTCTGCACCCCCTGCACCCTCTGCACCCTCTGCCACCACCCTGGGATGCTGCCCTTGGAGTCTGGAGAACCTCGGGAGCACAGCAAGGTGTGATACACGAGGTCACCCTGTGCCGGCGAAACCACTAACACTTTCTGTCTCTCAAGAAAACCAAACGAAACCAAACGGAAACGCAGCAGAACACTCAGGGCCGCCCCGTGGCTCCCGGGGCCTCCGGCTTCCCTCCAACACCTGCCCCAGCCTGAGCCAAAGCCGGTGCCCAGGGCGGTGGGGCCCGGGGCAGTGCGCTCCGAGGGGCTGCGTGGGCAACGGAAGGCAAGGGGTCCACCGTGGGCCCGGGAGAATCCGGAGGGCGCCGGCTCCTCACGACCCCCCGGGGTGCTCTGGGAAAGGCGGTTCGTGTCCGGCTGCGCGCAGTCTAGGAAATCAACGAGTGCGCAGAAGGCGCCTGCCCCGAGCAGAGGCCCCCCCTCAGCCAACAGGGCTTTTGCGCAGAAAGCTGTGGGCTGGATATCCGAACCGCGGCCCCACAAGGCGCTGCTATCGGGTGACGGCGGAGGGCTCCGGTGACCGCGGGGCGCGCAGGCGGCTTATCGGGGATCTGGGCGCCTCCTGCCGAGGCGCTGGCCGCGACCTGCCCGCCTCCCGCGGGGCTGGACTTACCCGAGCCACGCAGGGGCTTTGGCTCTCTGCTGTTCTTGCCGGGCGAGCGGGAGCTCATCCCGGGCGGGGGCGCAGGGCCGGGGCGCAGGAGCACGGTGCAGGGCCGGGGCGCAGGAACAGGGCCCAGGAACACGGTGCAGGGCTGGGGCGCAGGGCCAGAGCGCAGGAGCAGGGCGCAGGGCCTGGGCGCAGGACCGGGGCGTAGGAGCGGGGCGTAGGAGCGGGGCGCAGGGCCGGGGCACCGGAAAAGGGCGCAGGGCTGGGGCGCAGGACCGGGGCGCAGGGCTGGGGCGCAGGACCAGAGCGCAGGAGCAGGGCTCAGGGCCTGGGCGCAGGACAGGGGCGTAGGAGCGGGGCGCAGGGCCGGGGCACCGGAAAAGGGCGCAGGAGCGGGGCGCAGGACTAGAGCCGGGGCCGGGGCGGGAGCGAGGAGGTCCACGGGGACACCGCGCCCCCGGGAGACCCGGTGCAGACGCGGAGCATGAGCAGGAAAGGACGCGGCTGAGCGGGCACAGCGCTGTGGGGCGAGCCCCCCCACCCCCCACCCGCGGCCCGATGGGCGCGCGCGGCCTTGCTCGGTGACCCCGGGCCTGGCGCAGCCCCCGCCGCCCGGACCGCCCGCGGCGTCCCCATGAGCGATGCGCAGGTGGCCCGGCCGCCCGGGATCCGCGGCGCCCCTGGGGGCGGGGGGCGGGGGCCCTGCGACCGGGCCACGGCGCCCCCCGCGGGATGGCGAGGACCGCGGCCGGGCCCGGAGCGGGCGCTCGGGAGGCTGCACGGCGCGTTCCAGGCGGGCCCGCGGGGGCGGGCGGGGGCGCCGCAGACCCGGCCGGAGGGCCCCGCGGACGCCGCCGAGAGCCGCGCGGACCGGGCGTGGGTGGCCTCGCGCCCCCAGGACTGCCTGCGCCACCTGCAGCAGCTGCTGGCCCTCCGCAGGCAGTACCTCCGCCGCCTGCAGCCGCCGCGGCCCGCACCCGCCCCCAACCCCGACCGAGGCGCAGGGGCCCGCGGCCAGGCCGCCCCCGGGGACGCCAAGGTGAGCGCTGCGCGGAGGGGCGGGGCGGGGGCCAGGAGCCCGGGGGGCCCAGGCAGAGCCTGCAGGGCGGCGTGGGGGGGACCCCGGGAGGGCGGCATCGGGGAGGGGGACCCCCGGGAACCGCGACATGGGCCGGCGACCCCCCCACGCCTGCTGCCCCCTCCCCGCCCCCCCAGGGCGCCCGCTGGGGCTCCTCCCTGTGCCCCAGGACACCCACTGGCCCCCTCTCCGCTCCCCCAGGACACCCACTGGCCCCCCCACCCCCAGGACACCCACCTCCTCTCCCCGCCCCCCAGGACACCCGCCGCCCCCCCAGCAGCCCCAGCCGGTTACTGCGGGCAGGAGCGGGCAGGAGCGGGGGAGGGCGTCTGGGGGCAGCCGGGGGAGCCCTTCGATGCCATCGGGCGCCCAGGGGTGAGGTGCCCCCCAGGAGAAGCCGCTTTAAAAACTCTGCGTGTCCAGCTCCGGGGAGCCGGGCGAGGGGCCGGCCTGGCTGGGCGCCGGGTGTCCCGGGGTCGCGGTGCAGCGCCGGGGAGCGGGGAGCTCAGGGGCCTGCGGGCGCCCTGCAGAGGTGCCGGTCGCGGCCTGGCTCCTGCTTAGCTCCTCGGTTCACATCAGGGTTCTTGGAGCAGGTGATTAACGGGCAAGGGAGGCGGGAGACACTTCTGCATCAGGAAGGGCAGGCGGAGGGGAGCAGCTGTCCCCAGAGGCCCTCCAGGGCACTGGGTCACTCGGCCTTCATTCTTCAAGTTTTTATTTATTTATTTATTTTTGAATGCTTGGGGTTTGAGGCTGTTTGAAGATCCCGGGTCATGTCGCCGATGACTGTGCAGTGACGTGTCTCCCAAGTCCGGCTTCCCAGATGTGCGGCGGGCGTGGGATGCCTCACTGGGCTGCTGTCGCGGCTCCGGCCTCGCCTCCCCTGTGGTGTCAACCCTCAGTATTGCAGCCCAGGCGGGGCGGTGTGAAGACCCACCCTAACCCCGCAAGGTGTCAGTGTCCTGGTCCCTGTGCTTGGGTCCCAGAGCCGATCCCGTGATGAGCGAGCTGCGGGCCTGTGGGACAGCCACCCGCCTTCGGGGTCACCTCCCATGACAGAGGGGCTGCGGTGGGTCCTGGACTCTCCTTTCGCTTGAATAACCTGGGGCTCTTGGCTCTGGTTAGAGTCCCTCCAGGCGGTGCATTTTCTTGGAAAAAAAAATGCAGTTCTGTCTTTATGAAGCCTCGCTCCCTTCCTCCCCGCGCTGTTTGGAGATACAGGGAAGGCTTCGGCACAGAACCAGCAGCTCGGGCCCTGGGAAATGCCTGTCGGGCATCCGTGCAACGTGCGGATTTCCTCCGGGGAGGCCTCCCACCGCGATGCAACCAGAAAACAGTTTTAAAATGTCTTTGAAGTCAGACCAAAATCTGAATTTCAGTTGTTTTTTTTTTTAAGCTTTTATTTATTCATGAGAGACACAGAGAGAGAGGCCAAGACACAGGCAGAGGGAGAAGCAGGCTCCACGTGGGGAGCCTGACGTGGGACTCGATCCCAGGACCCCGGGGTCACGGCCTGAGCTGGAGGCAGATGCTCCACCTCTGAGCTCCCCGGACGTCCCTGAATTTTAGTTCTGTGTCTACCTACCAGGTCGAGTTGGCCTCTCTGGGCCTCCGTTTCCGTAGCAGACAAGTGGAAATAAGAGTAGGCGTGGGGAGGACAAGGGAGCCCCTCTCTGTATCTCTCATGAATAAATAAATAAAATCTCAAGGAAACAAAGAACCAACGAATGAAGTGCATGCTGGGTGTGCCTGAGAAATAGCAGGTGCCCTCCCGTGGCTGGCAAGGTGGTGACCAGGGCAGGGGGCCGGAGAGCTGCTTTCTTCTGGAATGTCGTCACCTCCTGCATTGGTAGGAAACATCTGCTGATGCTCAGGTGTAGGGCGAATAGATTAGGGCGATTCCAGGTGTAGTCAGGCTGCTTGCAGGTGTCAGAGTGGCCCCCCTAGTGGGACATGGCTGGTGTCTCCAAGCAGGGGAACCTGGGACACATGCACACATACACGGAGAGCACGAGGCGAGGTCCGGAGCTGGGGGGGGGCCTGGACACGTCGTCCCCCGGTGACACATGTCCCCAGAGAGAGCACGGCCCTGACAGGGTCCTGGCCTCCAGCCCAAGACAGTAGGTCTCAGCCGCGCTAAGCTGCCCAGCGCTGGCACGTCACGCGACGGCCCCCGCCAGTGAGCACGGCCCCCCGGACCTCTCGGCGGTTCTCGTCCCCACATTTGCCTGAACGCACGTCCGTCCTAGCGTTGGTCTCACGTCAGCCCGCGTGTCCCCTCTGCTGGGTGCAGTGACATGGCGCCTGGCCTCTGTGTGGTAGTCTGAGGTTTTTTTTTTTTTTTTCTCAAAATGCTCTCTTCTATTTTTGTGGTTGTTTTTCACATTGGTGAAGACACGCTAAGCTTACTTCACAAGCCACCGAAGGGGCACGACGGACAGTCTCCGCAGCCTGCAGTGGGGCGGTCGGCGGGGCCTGTTGGGAGGTTAGCGACGTCCAAGGCACCGTCCGCCAGGGCTGGTGGCTCTCGTCCCCGTGGAGATAAGACCACCTGGCCCGGCACCATGTGGACGGTCCCGGGACTCCAGGATCGCGCCCTGGGCCAAAGGCAGGCGCTAAACCTCCGAGCCACCCAGGGATCCCCCGTTACTCTTATGGGTCCTGCCGTCCCGAGCAGCCTGGGTTCCCGACGTCTGCCCGGACGAGCTGGCTGCATCGGCGCCGCATCCCTGCACCCGGCCCACCCCCATCCCGGCTGAAGAAACGCACTGGTTCAAAAGAACCAGTGAAATTCTGGCGACTGCCTGCCAAAAGCGACCGATTTCGACTTAAGGTGGTTTTATTCCGGCAGTGGCTTGTTTCCAGAATCCATTCTCTACCAAGGCCCTCCAATTCCAGTCCTGCTTCGTCGAATAGGACCGCGTCGGCAGCAGATGGAAGGTTCTCTCTCCTTTACGGCGGGAGGCCCCGAATCCGGTTCATCTGAGAGGGTTCCCAGTGGCCTAGCTGTCCTGCGCACGTGTGATTCGGAAGGGAGAGGAGACACACTCTGGATCTGCCTCTGCGCGTCCGGAGTCACTTTGCAGGTCAGCGGGGCAGACCTGGCGCAAGCACGGCCGTAGCACACCCGGCATTCCCGGAGCTCGGTCATCGGGGCGCCTCTGCCCTCGGCCTCCGGCCGGCTTGCTGGGCCGAAGGGCAGCACTAATTCAATATGAGCCGCGAAGGACATTCTCTTCTGCCTGGCGCAGCTCCACAAGATGACAAAGGGTCTGATGGTGACTGATGACAAGGCGCGTGTCCCCGCGGCCCCTCGGTCAGGCCGCAGGCCGGCGAGTCCCTGCCCCCCTCCGTCCTCCAGGCACCTGCTGTGCGCTCAGCCTAGAAATTAGATTTCCTCTTTCCTCCTCGTCGTCCCCTTTCCTCCCCGCCGCGCCCCACTCCCCCGGCAGGCTTCCTGTCTGACCGGCAGGGAAAGCATTTCCCCAGGAAGCCGCTTCCCACGTCCACGGTCCGAGACCGTGGATTCCCCCCGTCCTTGTCTGCCCCCGTCTCAGCACTTAGCACCCCGCACCCTCATCGTGGCTTCATTCGCTGGTTCTGCCGCGTGAGCTCGCTGAGGGGGGCACCGCGTCTTATTCTCCAGCTCCAGCCTCTCGCAGGGCTCCAGGCATGCAGCAGACATCCCCTAAACCAATGACCCGAGAAACTCCAACTGTGGTTTAAGAATCCTTAAGAAGAAAACGTACAAAGTTGGGGTGGGAGAGGCTGGAAGAGTAGCAAATCTGTTGTTTTTCACGGAGTGGAAAATGATCTTTTATTTTTAGTGGAGCGGAATATAGTTTGAGTATATTCCTATGGAATCGTATCCTAATAATTAAAATATCCGGTGTGTAATGATGGGTCAGAGTTCATCCTCAAAAGGACATTTTGGGCAACCCTTAAAAAAAATGTCGGATGATAAAGCTATATTTGTTCACTAGATGAAGTTTATAAAGCACACAGAAGTATAAGACATAAAATAAAAATCACTTAGAATCCTACCAGAAATAATCACTATAAAATATTTAGGTATATTCTCTTTCAGTCATTTATTTCCTGTATATTTGCATATATGGGTACTAGGGCCGTCAGCTAAAACAAAGGATGCTTATTTAAATTTGATTTTAAGGGGAGGGACGCCTGGGAGGCTCCGGGGTTGAGCATCTGCCTTCAGCCCAGGGCGTGACCCCGGAGTCCTGGGATCGAGTTCCGCCTCGGGCTCCCTGCAGGGAGCCTGCTTCTCCCTCTGCCTGGGTCTCTGCCTCTCTCTGTGTGTCTCTTATGAATAAATGAAATCTAATAAATAAATAAGTAAATAAATAAATAAATAAATAAATAAATAAATAAATTTGACTTTAAAATAAGTGATGGATTTTTTTTAGTATCATTATGTCCATGCAATATTTGGCACATATTTATACTAAAACATTATTCATTATTTATGTGAAATTGAAGTTTAACTGCCGTCCCGTATTTTTATTTGCTAAATTTGACAACACTAATGTATGTGTATGTATGAATTTACTAAATCTGGTTTACACCAAATAACTTTTTTATGACCTCTTTTCAGTTAATGTATTTTGTGGATTCTTTCCCGCCTCATTAACTACTTTTTGAAAAGTAAAGTTTTAATGGCAAAAAATGTAACAATCCACATTCTTTAAACAATTGGGAAGAATTACAAGTAAATACATCCTACTCTATAAGGTGTGTTTTAGTGATTCCTAAAAGTGTGACTAATGGGGCTTGGTTTAAAGACCATTCATTTTTAAAGATTCTTCTACATTTTGCTTCCCAGAAACATTTGATAATTTACACTTTCATCAACAGAGAGTTAGAAAGCACTTCTGGTTGCATTTTTTCTTTTTTTTTTTTCAAATTTTTATTTATTTATGATAGTCACACAGAGAGAGACAGAGAGGCAGAGACAACAGGCAGAGGGAGAAGCAGGCTCCATGCACTGGGAGCCCGATGTGGGATTTGATCCCGGGTCTCCAGGATCATGCTCTGCGCCAAAGGCAGGCGCCAAACCGCTGCGCCACCCAGGGCCCCCCTGGTTGCATTTTATTAGCACCTAGTATTGCATTAATTTAGGAAGTTCGCTGATGAAATAAATTGCATTATTTTATGTATTTTACTTTGATTATTGCTCGAGCAAAGAATGACTGTTTTATCTTATCAAACCAATGTGTACTTCTTATTTAATTGCCCATTCATGTCTTCTATGTTTTTCTTTTAGCTCTATTAAAAATTTCTCATTACTATGGACTCATACTAAGGATATGAGCACACTGTCGGCCACGTGTGCTAAAAATATTTTCTCCAAGTTATTAAGTGTGTTTTCATTTTATTTGGCATTTTCTGGTCTATAAGCCCTACTGATTTTTGTGTAGTCAAGGACATCCATTCTTGTCTTTGCTATTCCTTCCATTGCTCTCCTGCTTAGAAAGTCCTTCTACGTCTCAAGGTCAGCTGTGTGATTGCCATTCCTCCCTCCCCCCTTTTTTGATTGTTCCATTTTTAAAAACCCAACTCTTTTTATCTATCAGCAATGTATTCTGACATGAAGTGGGAAGTGAGAATCCAACTTGAATTTTCGCCAAACAGCAAAGTTGACAAATTCATCCCCTCTTCCGCTGGATTGTGATGTTCCCACCTATCGCACGTGTAGGTTTTATACTATGGCTCAATGATATCAGTTTAATTTAAGCAGGCTTCTAAGCAATAAATGTGAGTGTATTTCTTCCACGTGGTGTTTCGTTAAAGTGGAACGACCACTTAGCTATTTATTTATTCATTCATTCATTCATGAGACAAATGGAGAGAGAGAGAGAGAGAGAGAGAGGCAGAGACACAGGCAGAGGGAGAAGCGGGCTCCATGCCGGGATCCTGATGTGGGACTCGATCCCGGGTCTCCAGGATCACGCCCTGGGCTGAAGGCAGGTGCTAAACCGCTGCACCACCGGGGCTGCCCTCACTTAGCCATGAAGATGACATGGAAGGTGAAGAGCCACCAGGTGTTGGCAGAACAAGTAGTGGCCTTAAGATTAGAAAGCAGGGAGGGGAAAGACTAAGCCTATCAACCTCTGAGTCTAATCCCTAAGACCAAAGACGGAAGACGCGTGGCTTCGCTGCCAAAATGACCGTAGTGTTTGGTTGTGCGAGGTAATGCCAAAGTCGAGTTATGCTACAGTCTGTGACAGACTTCTTCCTTCTTTTCATCTCTTTGGACTCAGTTTCTCGGCTCCCTTGTCTACTTCACCGATTTTTTTCTTCAGGTCAGGCAAGTGTGCCATTTAGCTTAGATTTTGTTGGCATTTTGTGTGTAGGTATATGCTTGTAAGTAGTTAGATTCCAGTGGTTATAACTTTTTCCAAATTGCTTGTTTCTCATAGATTCACTTCTCATTTCATAAGCTGTTGTTCTTTCTTCACAAACCCCCCACTCAGTTATGGGGACATTTAGGTTCTTAGGTGTTGTGATATAAAAGGGATAAGGCAAGTATTACTTTGGGCTTGGTCTTAAATACCCATCCCATGGATGGTGGAAGGTAGAGAAGACGTGTTAGAGCTTTTAGGGTTTGTCCGTGTTAGAGCTTTTAGGGTTTGTCCTCAAAAGCTCGCTTATTTATTTATTTATTTATTTATTTATTTATTTATTTTTGGTGATATTAATTTCCTTGTGGATAAATCTGAGCCGTTTTGCATTTAATTTCACCCAGCTGAATGATCCAAGGGAAAATGATCTCTCCAATCCAGACTAGCTCCAAAATTTCCTGTAAGAGAGTATTATCGGTTCTGCATAAAAATAAGGAGTATAGAATTCTTAACATTTGCCAGGTTAAATCCTAAAGGATACGTTAGCCGTGTAGGCTGGCTGGGAATATAAACGTTGGGCAATGGCATCTGTGTGGCGTATATTCATGCACTCAGTGGCAATGACCTCTCCGTGCCAGGCACTGAAATGGGTGCCCAGCATCCGTAGGTGAAAAGGCAGGGGATGTTCCCTGATGCAGGCCATGGGCAAGCCGCCATCCTCAGTGTCGCTGTGGGAACCACACTGCAGTGTTGAGGCTCCTGGGCAGAGACACGGGTAGAATTTGAATCAGAATCACGGGAGTCGTGTGAATCCCACGACGTATCTCACATGGGCAGTGGATGGCGGTGAGGGTGTCTCACAGGCCTAGCAAAAGAAACCCTCTCCACTTAACAATGTTTTCGAGTAGTACGAAATGCATCCATTTCACCAAGATCTTGTATGTATATCCGGATGTCATCATTTTATTTCCCAACATTCCAGCCTGTAATTTTTCTTTTTAATACCACCCTCCTTTGAAAATGCCCACATACGGCACAAACACATAGATCAATGGAACAGAAGAGAGACTCCAGAAATAAACCCGTGGTTATAAGGTCAAGTGTATCTAAGACAAAAGGGGCAAGAATATACAACGGGGAAAAGACAGTCTCTTCCACAAACGGTGTTGGGAAAACTGGACACTTCCATGTAAAAGAAAGAAATGGGACCACTTTCTAACATCATATACAACAATGAACTCAACGTGGATTAAAGACCTAAATGTGAGACCTGAAACCATAAAACTCCTAGAAGAGAACACAGCCAGTGATTTCTCTGACATTGGCTGAAGCAACCATTTTTCTAGCTAGAGCTCTTCAGGCAGAGGAAATAAAAGTAAAACCATTGGGAATATATCAAAATAAAAAGCCTTCTTTACATGGGAAGGAAACCATCAACGAAATAAAAAGAACCTACTGAATGAGAGAAGATATTTACAGATTTATATATCTGATAAAGGGCTAATATCCAAAATGTGTAAAGAGCTTAGACAATTCAATACCATAAAAAAATCCAATTAAAAATGGGCAGAGGACCTCAACAGACATATTTCCAGAGAAGGCATCCAGATGGCCAACAGACACATGAAAAATGCTCAACGTCGCTCATCATCGGGGAAACGCAAATCAAAACGACTACGAGCTATTGTTTTATACCTATTGGAACTGCTAGAATGGAAAAAAAGAGAGAGAGAGAGAAACAACAAACGTTGGCCATGATGTAGAGAAAAAAGAAACTCTTGTGCACTGTTGGTGGAAATACAAATCAGTGCAGCCGCCATGGAAAACAGTATGGAAGTTCTTCAAAAAAATTAAAAACGGGGAAGTACTATTTGGCTCAATAATTCCACTACAGGGCATTTACCCAAAGAACACAGAACACTAATTTGGAAAGATACATGCATCCTGATGGTAATCGCTGCATTATCTACAATAGCCACTGGTGGAAGGAGCCCAAGTGTCCACCAATGGATAAATAGATAAGGAGGATGTGATGTGTGCACGGGGGCACACACACACACAGGAATATTACAGAGTCATAAAAAGATTGTGTCTGAGACAACATGGGTAGACTTAGAAGGTAAAACTGGAATAAGTCAGACTGAGAAAGACAGACAGGATTCCGCTCATAAGTAGAATCAAAACAGAAACAAAAACAAATGAATAAACAGAAAGCAGAACCAGACCTACAAATACAGAGAACAAACTGATGGTTTCCAAAAGGGAGGGGTGGGGAGTTGGACAAAATGGCTGGAGGGCAGTGGGAGAGACAGGCTTCCGCTTATGGAGCACGTCGTGGGGGTACCAGGCACGGCCTAAGGAATACAGTCAGTGGCGCGCAGTGGTGATGTGATGGCACAGAGGGCAGGTCCACTCGCGCGGTGAGCACGACACGACGTATAGACTTGTCAAATCGCCGCGTTGTACGCCGGAAACTAATGAAACACGGTGTGGTCAACTACACTCCAGTAAATCAAAAACCAAATAAAAATGCTCGCGTAAAATAAAAATGACTCTACCCCAGGTCGGAACGGCCCGAGTTACTGCATATTGTCCCTTCTTTTCCTCCCTGAGTTCTCCAACTCCCTAAATGCCTTGGAGAGCTTCTTCTGGGCTCTCACGTCGATTCTGGGCCTCTCGTCGAGGGTTCTCCATGCAGGTCTCACGGAGGTCCACTATGCCCGTCCCCAGAGACCACCCGTTAGGGGTCGTGAGGACGGCGGTGGCGGATGAGATCATCCAGGAGGACACGGAGCCTGGAGCCTGGTTAGGCATTCAGTAGACTTAAAAAAAAAACAACCTATATTTTATTATTCCTTATACTTTGCAAACACTCACACTAATGTTTCTTCAGTTTATTCCATGACTTACACCCAAATGCGGTCACTCGAGGTACTGACCGCTCTTTCAGAGCATTTCCAGTCCATGTTGTCCTGTTCCCGCTGTGAGCACCCCACTGCCTACCGGAGGCGCTGCACGGTCACCTACCTGGGTGTTTAGCAGCTGGGGAGGAAGCCAAGGAAAGGCTAAGTCTTTGCCCAAAGGCCAGTAACGGTTTCTGAGCAAGAAAGGGGTCGATTTTACAATCCCTTTGTCTCTCCTTGCGGTGATTGGAAGTCCACTGACCGACAGCAGTTGTGGCCGTCGGCGGAGCGTCCGCCGTCCTTGCTCAGGGCACCTATTCCAAGTGCCCTCTTAAACTCTGCGAATTGGGCACTTCACGTCCATTTGCGTTTGGCAGCGCTTCGTTCTCTTTGGTGGTTGTGGCTTTGGTAGCCGTGCGGGGGTGCCCAGAGGCTGGCTCAGCCCGCTCTCTCCTGCCCTTCACTTCTAGCGGAGAGCAACCCCGCGGAAATACTCCCAGTTCAGCGCGGACGTGGCCGAGGCCATGGCCTTCTTTGATTCCATCATTGCAGAGCTGGACACGGAGAAGCGGCCGTGGGCGGCTGAGGCAGACGCCCCGAATGAGGACGTGGACTGTGAAGGTGAGTGCTCGGGTCCCCAGGGAGGACAGGCGGGAGCCTTTCCTCGGCCCACCCGGGGCACGGGCTCTCTCCTGGGAGCCCGTCACCTGACTGCCTGTTTCTGCCGCCTGGGACCCGCCGTCCTTGGTGGCAGCGGCGGCGACTTTACCCGGGCCTGCGGGCTCCTGCTACCGACGGGCCGGCTCGTGGTACCGGTACTGGGTGATCCTCGAGTGCTGCACCCCGGGCCCAGAAGATTAAATCCGCGTGGTCTGTGGTTGCTGTGGCCCCGCAGCCCATAGCCGTGAATCCAGGTTCCCATGGGCTTGTGGACTGTCGCAGAGTCCTCCCGCGGCCGGGCCCTCTGCACTGGGGACCCCGCTCGCCCTCCTCCCCACTGCAGCCCTCAGGCCCTGAGGACCGGCCCTCACCCTGGGAGTCGGGCCTGGGAAGCCCAGGACGTTGGCAGGAGAACAGCAGAATCCACCGAGGAGGCGAGAGACGAGGTCTCTTTGCTCTTTGTCACCTGCTCTTGTCACTTAACAATTAGTGCATCACGGGCGTCTTTCCAGGCCGCTGAACGTAGATCTGTGCCCTTATTTATAAGGAACGTGTAACTGTCCCGTGTACGTCTACACCGTAAATCCGGGGTCAGACCCGCGCCCCGCTCGCCCTGACGCGGTGCCCCTCCCCCCCCGGGGTGCCGGCTTCTCTCTTCCAGTGGCCACCAGCTCCCGGGAGCACGGCTTGCACTGCAACTGGATCCTGCGGGCCCCGCGCCGGCACTCGGAGGACATGGCCGTGCACGCGGTGCACACGGCGGACGGCCAGCTGCGGAGGGCCGCCGAGTGCAGGACCTTCGGCACCCAGAGGCGACTCGAGAGGCACCCCATTTACCTGCCCAAGGCCGTGGAAGGGGCATTCAACACCCTGAAATTTAAGCCCAAAGCCTGCAAAAAAGAGTAAGTGCTTGCACCGTTCATCCCTCCCCTGCAAGGCCGGCCCCGGGGCCAGCCCCCATGGGGACACTGCTTTGGCCTCTACGCGGCCCCACATTGGGGAGTGTCTGATTGAAACAGTGAATCAGCTGGAGGGGGCGGTGCTCAGGGGCTGAGCGTCTGCCTTCAGCCCAGGGCCGGACCCCAGGGTCCCGGGTTCGAGTCCCACCTCGAGCTCCCTGCATGGAGCCTGCTTGTCTCTCTGCCTCTCTCTCTGTGCTGCTCAGGAATAACTAAATAAAATCTTAAAAAAAAAAAAGAAATAGTAAATCAGAGCACCCGTCCTCTGTGCAGCCAGCCAAGCCTCACTAGGGCCTCTGCCTCATTCGTCCCTTCCAGCCTGGGGAGCCCCAGACAGATCCTCTTCAACTTCTCAGGAGACGACATGGAGTGGGACGCCGAGCTCTTTGCACTGGAGCCCCTGGCGTCTCCGGGGGAGGACTACCCCGAGCCCGAGAACCCCAGGGGGCAGTGGCTGCTGCGAGAGAAACTGTGGGAGCGAACAGTGCCCTGACTGGCTCGGGGCCGCCCAGCCCGACTCAGGCTGCGTCCCAGGGAAGGCGGCTGCAGGTGTTTGGGCGGCACCAGGTGTTTGGAGGCGGTAACCCTGCAGCCCATGAGCCTGTGGGCACGGCCCGCTGGGGTGCAGCTAGTGCCAAACGCGCCGGGGGGCTCCCAGGGCACCCGCCTCGGGGGGACCTTGGGGGACCCCGGAGCCTGGCTTTCTGGCGCAGCGGGTTAGCAGGTAGGCACGGCTGGGCTGCCGTCGCAGCGGCAGGAGTGGAAGGCCTGGCCTGCCCTGGGGCCTGTCTCGGGCCTCTGCATCCGTCCAGGCGGCCGCTAACTCGGTTAGCAGCGCAGGAGGGGGCCCACCCGGACCTCTGGGCCGCAGCTGCCGTCCCACGGGGCTCACAGGCACTCGGGCCACAAGCAGAGGGGGCTTCCCTTCACGCAGGACGCCGGGGACACGGCCACGGTGTTCACTGAGGGTTACACGGAGGGTGGGCCCAGGGCCCCGGCTGGGACCCCACCGTCCCCCCAGCTCATACCCAGCTCCGCTTCCTACACGAGGGTGCTCCCCCCGCCCCGCATGCTGGGGTTGCCCTGGACTGGCAGCGATCTGTGATCTCGGGAAGCCCTCCAGCAGGGGCACACCTGCCGCAGGCTCTTGGCCCTTCCCGCGTGCTTCTGCGTTTCCCCTTCTCGGGTTTGGGAGGCACTGGCTCGGAGGGACCTGCATCTTGCTCATTCGTACTTCTGGTGTCGCCTAAGGAGGACTGAAGTCACGGGGCCCAGGTGGGGGGGGGGTGCGTGCTCCCGGCTGCAGGGTGCCCCTCGCCACACACACACACGCACACGCAGGCAGACAGGCCGGGCCGGGGACCCACCTGCAGCCCCAGCTCGGGGCGGGATCCCGGGTCCTGCGACGTCTCCGTGTCTCCGCCTCTGTCTCCGTGTCTCTCCTGAATAAGTAAATAAGACCTTAAAACAACAACAGCAACAACAGACCCCCCACCCAGGATGCCCTGGGCTGCGGTTGGCCTGAGAACGGAGAGGAGCTTTCCTCCTGCCCGGCTCACGTCAGGTTATTCTTACTGTTATTTATTTTTTTTAAACTATGGACTTTTTATTTACGTGAACCTGACTATCGGAATCTAAGTGTTTACGAACTCCAACCAGGAGGGAAAAAAAATGCTGATAATTACGTGGCATTCTTCAAAATTCTGTATCCACACATTTGAGACGAAAATACACTAGAAACGTTCTGATGCTTGTCTTTATTATTATTATTATTATTATTATTATTATTATTATTATTTTGTCTGTGAGTGCCAATGTCAGTGTTTGGGAGGTTTCTTTCATTTTGCGGCTTATCCTAAACCCACGGCAGCCGGAAGCTCCACGGAAAAACAAACGTTTGGGGGATCCGCTGTATCACCTGCGATAGGGCACGGCCAGCCAACACGGCCGCGAACCTTCCTTTTCCCCAAATGTGGCCTCGCGTGGAAGCCCCGGAACGGAGGTTCTCCGCCGAGGGTCAGCTCAGGACACGGGCCTCCTCGCCTGCCTCTTCCCGGCCCTGACGTCATGTGGCGAAGACTCTGCGCGTGATCCGCTTGCACAGACAAGAAGAAGATAAACAGGACACAGAGGATGTTTGGAGTCTACGTTTTTTCTTTTCTTTTTTTTTTTTTTTTAAGCATTTATTGCTCATGAGACCTGAAACTGTGCTTGTCTCTCTGGCTTCACGTTTTGTGTATTTTTACCTTTAATGAGACTATACGCAGACCGGCCCCCAGAGCTCCACGACTGAGAAACGGGAGGCTGGCGCGTCTTGGGGATGCTCTTAGGGATTTGAAGCTGGTGATAAACCCCGGGGTCCAGGCTTTGTCTGGGGAATCCTGAGGTGGTGTCTACCGAGGTCTTGAGATCAATGAAGTTCGAGACAATAAAGTTCAGTTCAGCACAACGAGCTGTTGGACGGCTCCTTTTCCCCGGGAGTGACCCTTTAGGCGATGGTCCCGGAGGCCCCAGGGTAGCAGCTCCAGCTGCCCAGGATTGTCCTGGTTTTCGATTCAGGGACGTCTACCTGTTGCCACACAGGACGTCCAGATGCCCCTGCTTTCTGGCTCGGCCGCAGACGGCCATGGGCCCGGGGAGGGTGGGTGGGGGTGTGCACGCGGCAAAGGCCGAGGCCCTGCTGCCAGGCCAGGCCCCACGGCCTCCGGGTCCAGCGTCGGGACCGCCGTCGGGGGGCTGGAGGTGCGGGCAGGTGGGCTCCGCTGGAGGGAGGGGCGCCCCGGCCTCCCCAGCTCCCGGCACCTGGCGTCTGCCGCCCGTGTCCAGGGCCCCGTCCCCGCTGGGCGGCCCCGAGCATGTGCTCGCCCCAGCCCCCCGTCTGCAGGGCCCCCCCTGCCCCACGAGCCGCTCGCCGCCGGCGCCTCCAAGCAGGGCTGCACCTGCCTGCTGCCCACGTGGGCCCGACCATGCGGGCGTCTCCCAGCGTCTTCGGGCCCCACTGTGCCGCTGCCGAGGTCGCGAAGGTGCAGGGCTGTCGCGTCCGGCAGCCCCTCGACTCGGAGAGGCGACCCGATGACTCGGATCGCCGGGTAGGGGACCAGAGCTCTTCAGCCCCGTGGGATGCGGGAGGAGAGCGAGCCCGCGCGCACGTCCCTGCCGGCCCGGGGGATGTTCTGGTCAACCCACCTAGCGAGTCCTTAGTAAGCAACTGCTGTATACCGAGCCAATAACCCAAGGCACACTTTGCGCCCTTTGGTGGCTGGCGGCCCAACGAGGGGACACAGAACAAACGGGTGGGCTGGTGCTTCCTTGAGCACCTCGGGCTCGGCCACGGCAGGGAGCCCACCCGGGTCAGGGGTGCAGGGAGCGGGTGGCAGAGGTGCTCCCCGAGACGGCTTCCCACGCTGCTAGGGGGGCGCCGACAGCCGGAAGCTACTGAGAGGCCGTGGCGGGTCAGACGGACAGAAGGCAGGGCGCTCGGTCAGACAGGTCAAGGGCCAAGTGTCCTCCCCCTCGACGGAGAGTGAGCGGAGCCTCAGAAGACGTCCTCCGGCTGCGGGGCGGGGTGGGGGGGTGCCCCAGGGTCCCAGCAGCCCGAGCTCCCCGGACCTCAGCAAGGGAGTCTCTCAGGCCCCAGCGCTGCCCTCGGCCTCCCCGTGGGCCCGTGGCTCGCACGCGTCCTCGGGTGGCCTCCGCTTCCCCCGCGCAGCCGCCATCACTCCTGGGCTGCCCGCACGTCCAGGGCCTTGTCAGCGCGTGGTTGGGGCAGGTCTCCTGGGGGGCAGGAGGGCTGCGGGGCGAGGGGCAGGGGTGGGCAGACACACTCCGTAGGGAAACTGAGGTAGCCATCCCGGTCAGCCTCCCAGGCCCCAGGGTGTGCCGAGGCCCGCTGGCCAGGCTCCTGGGGACGCTGCCCGTGCTTGCGTGTGCACGCACTGGCCGTTTGACAGGTACTGAGCTCCGACTCCGTCCCAGTCTGTGTCTGGGGACGTCGCATGAACACGGGCTCTCACGGAGCTGTCAGTGGCAGGAGGCACGGGATGGAATCAAGGGGCCACAGCAGTAGACACGAGTCAGACTGTGGTCGAGGTCCGTGAGGGAGGCCCAGGGCAGCCCAGGGCCTGTAGTGGCATCAGAGCCGGCTGGGGCAGGGTGGCTGGGCCAGGGCGGCTGGGGCAGGGTGGCTGGGGCAGGGCGGCTGGGGCAGGGTGGCTGGGGCAGGGTGGCTGGGCCGGGGTGGCTGGGAAGGGGCAGCTGGGGCAGTGTGGCTGGGGCGGGTATCTGGGCTGGGGTGGCTGGGGTGGGGTAGCTGGGGCAGGGGGGCTGGACTGGGGTGGCTGGGCCAGGGCGGCTGGGGCAGGGTGGCTGGGGCAGGGTGGCTGGGGCAGGGTGGCTGGGGCGGGTATCTGGGCTGGGGTAGCTGGGGTGGGGTGGCTGGGGCAGGGTGGCTGGGCCGGGGTGGCTGGGCTGGGGTAGCTGGGCTGGGGTGGCTGGGGCAGGGTGGCTGGGCCGGGGTGGCTGGGGAGGGGTGGCTGGGGCGGCCCTCCGAGCTCCCACTTAGCTTCAGCGGCCACACTCAGAGGCTACCTCTGGGGAGAGGGCTTCTGGAGCACCCACCCCGTCTCAACCGTCACTGCCCCAGCTCTCCCGTGCATCGGCTGGTGCCCCACACCTACTGCGACCTAACGCACGACTGTACACGCACATATACACTCGCCCACACTCGCTCAGCCACATTCACTTGTGCACACTCGCCCCGTTAGCTGCTGAGCCCCACAGGGCCCAAGGTTGGTCTGTTCTGCTCACACCCTGCACCCTGGGTCAGGAGCGGTGCCTACGCCGACAACCGCCTGTTGACCGAATGCCAGGCTGCCAGGTTGCAGAAAGGAGTGCAGGGCCCGTGAGCTGAGATGTCCGGGGGAATCTGAGGCATCATGCGGAGGGCTGGGGGCTGCAGAGAGATCCAGGCTGAGGATCTGCGCCGGAGGGACCGCGGCCTTGGAAGGACTTGAAAGACATCACCGATGTATTCGGGAGGTACCACGGAGCAGCCGGGTGTGCTCAGAACTCTTCCAGGCCCTGAGAGAAGAACCGCGAGACCAGGTCCCTGACGTCGGAGCCCCCACCCTCGGTGGGGAGGGCTGTGCGGGCACTAGCGACCATTGACCACCCGCACATATATTCAAATGTAATAACGTGTCCGGTTGTGATAAAATCCGTGAAGTAAAACAGAGAGTGGGAAGGGCGGGAGGTGGGGTGTTTAGTCCGAGAAAGCCCTGCAGAGGTGGTGATCCTTGAACAGAGCCCTGAGTGGAAACGGGGTTAGGTGAGCCCGGGGGAAGGACTGGTCGGACCAAGGGTAGGGTGAAGGCCCCAGGCAGGAAGGCCCCAGGGGACCTTGAGGACGCAGAAGGGAAGGTACTGGGGGGTCCGTGCAGGGGTCTGAGCAGGAGAGTCGCACAATCTGATTTAATTTTTAAAAGATGATTGTGG